ATTGTTTTACTTTATTTTTTATTTTATGCCCCTTTATAAACAATACATAATATTTCTAAGAAAATGAAAAACATATATTGAGAAGAAAATAAAAAATAAAGCAAATAATTGCACACAAGTAATTGATTAATGTAGTGCATTCAAAATGTGACTCTTTACAAATATATTTGACTATTTAACATATATTCATTGCTTACAATCATGCCCTGTACCATACCTTTTAGTTTTACAATTTTGAGATGTATTATAGAAGATGTGTATGATATATATTAAAGATTTTTGGTATGGATAAATGTATATTTAAAAACACTAGTTTTTCTAATGATTGCATGCTTCAGAATCAATGCTTATGATGAATCCATTACATAATTATGAAGGATTATTTATATAATTTATGACGATCGAGATAAACTAATTTTTCACTCATTTGATCTTGATTAGCAAAGTCATGATGGATGATAGTGAAAAATATGTCTGAATAAAATGTCCATTTCTATTAAAGCTTATGGTTGATTAGAGGGGAGCCAAAATAAGGCATAAAAAGTAGTTTCATATTTACATTAAGATAGGTAGACCTATGATTACATGGATAATAACTTATTCAAAATGATTTGTCAAGAGTAATTTTAAGATCCCTGGCAACACTCGATAGGGACAAATGAAAAAGAAAGATTCATAAAGTTGGCCGCAATTTATTGGTATAAGGCTAATGATGGTGATGATGATGATTGGCTTTCTCACACAACTGAAATTCTCAAAAAAAGTAACCCTCATATAGTCAGAACTTAGTTCATAGCTTCTTTAGCATGGCCACTTTTTCAAATTCATGATTTCATTCTTCCATGTAGAATTTTATGTCTAGGTCAGCTTTATCAAAAGCCATACAATCCTTCCTATTTATATTTAGAAGGCCCTAACTATGTGCTCAGAATAGCTGTCTTATAGAGCTTTATCATGTACAATTAAATGTTACTTTATTATTGGAAAAAAAAACTTTTTAGTCAAGATGTTGTGGCTATTGATAACCTTATTGAATTTCATCCAGAAGGGGTTAGCTTTATAACTAATCTAACAATGCTCACAATGGCGTAAATGGCATAAAAAAGAATGCCCAATTTACAACATATACTCATGTATTTTCCTCGTGGACAAAAAATTGGATTAACCAAGTAAAAAATGACTGATTTTAAATAGGAAAAATAATTCATATTCTGTGTTTCAGTGAAGATTAGCTTAGTTCAAAGGAAAAGAGATTATTGACAAAATGGACATGGAAGTTTCAAGGAAAGGTGCAAGTGGAAAGCAATACAGCAATTTTTGAAAAATAGATAATCCCATTCTACACATCACAGTGACATGGCAACTAACAGTCATAAAAGAATTCAGATTGGCTAAGAAATAAATAATAAGAATAATAATAATAATAATAATAATTAATAAATAAATAAAAAAGATGAACCAATAATGAAACTAACCAAATATATTGGCTAAGAACCACATAAAACTGAAAATTACCTTTTATATGTAGACTTCAGTATTAAATGTAGGCGAAACGTTTCTGAAACATACTGGTCAAGTGGAAGAGGGAAGGGAAGGTTGGAATCCAAATCCCAAATTAGGTGAGAGGAACGGCCTTCTTCAACATTTTTATGATTTACAATCTGCAGACCACTCAACAAAGAAAACTATGACAACATACTGACTAAACCAAGCTTACTGTTTAAAATTTTAGGTAGCATTTAGATGGTAGGATCTTGAATGGAAGGTAATAACAAAAAAGTTGAATAGTTTAAATTAATGGCTTTTAGATTCATAATAAACCCATAAATTGTTGTGCTTACATTTCATTTCCTTCACTTCAATCCAAAAAATCGCTATGTCATCCTAAAAGACAAGCAGTTGGATAACTATAAATCATCAAAATACTTCAGATTTACCTGAATGCAAATCACATGATAATCCCAAATCACCAATTTATCAGATGATTTGCTTGCTTTCTGATTCCATAGTGGTATCTAAAAAAATGAAACAAAAAAGAATCACTATATCAGGCAGCTGAAAGAGAACGCATTCAGTAACGCCAAATCTATACAACATGTGACCGTCTATTCACTCAAGCATACATTTTCATAATCTATGTTATATAAAAACAACTGAATTGTGGGCTCCAAAAATTCTCGTCCCAGCCTCTCTGCAGACTCCTTCCTTTCTTTCTTCTTTTTCAAGTCGTCAAGGAGAGTATTAAAAAGGTTACGAGGTAAATTTTCAGAAGTCATTTCATCATATTATGATATCTCATCAAACGACATCATACTGTTTGGATGTCCTTATCTAGTCTAAGCAAGGATCGGGTGACTTATGAATCTGATCTCTAAGGTTGAAAAAAACAATCATAAGAAAGCTTGTTGGACTAAGTGGTGTACTTGTAACTTATCAACAAAAGCAGAATGCAACTCATGTTATTGCTGCTATGGATAAGGATGTTGCCTATGCCAGAACAATAAAGTATCTTATGGCTGTGCCAGGTAATAATGCTACGATCTACCTATAAGCAATAGTAAGGAATCAGTAGTAAAAAATCACAGGCCACTGAAGCGCAACACAACGCTACTGGATCCGCAACGTTCATACAAGCGGAAAAAAGGCATTTGGAGATACCTAAATGAAATTCGGCGCATTTATTAATAGTGGTTATTTACATAGTCGATAATCACAAAAATACCCCTTTATACTGCATGCAAATATTTAAAATGCCTTCATACATGCATTACAACAGACATACTAATTCATGCAAAACACCCCTCTTATGCATTAAAATATGCATTGATGTGCATTCCATAATAGGCATGCATTGACAATGTGCAGAGGGTTTTATTCTAGCATGTCAATTAACATTGCAATCAAAATTGAAAATGACCTCTTGTATGTATTGGTAGGATGCCGAGGGTTTCATTCAAGTATGTCATTTGACATTGCAATTACACCTCAAAATAACCTCCGACATGTAGTTATAAGATGTCGAGGGTTTCATTCTAGCATGCCATCCGACATCACAATTGCATGTCAAAATGACCTCACACATGTATCGTTAAGATGCAGATGTTTTCATTCAAGTGTGTCATTTGATATTACAATCATAATTTAAAATGACCTCTTGTATGCATTGGCATGATACAGAGGTCCATGTCATCAAGGACTTTATCCAGTTAGTCTCTCCTTTGCCACATCTCTGCTCCCTAACTCATCATGCCTTGCTTGCCTCTTCGTCCAACTCCACTCCGTAACATCATGGATTTATCACCCCTCATCCACCACAGTCTCATATAAAGAAATTAACTAACTAGACTGCTACTATTACATCATATGAACATTGCACATCATGCGCTATTGCCAATGTCAATATATTATCTTTCTTTGTTTCTCTACATGTAGTTCTCTCCATAAAAATGCATTCAAATGCATGTGTGGGACCCCTCCTCAATCGTTTATAATCACAACAACAACAACAACAACATCAAGCCTTTATCC